CAGGGGCACCCCCACACCTTACACAGGCTGGGTCCACCCCTGGGTATATGTGTGCCAGTCTATCCCTGGACCAATGCCCCCGATGAACTATCTTAAATTGGATGAGTGTATGTCGAGCACACATTGATATATTGTGAACCTGGCCAAGGATAGAGTCCCACAGTTCATCCGTAATACGAAAGGTAAGGTCCTTTTCCCATTTAGATTTGATAACAGCTATTGAAGAGCCTTGTAAATTGGAAATTGAGCTGTACAAGGCTGATATTACAATTTTTTTTTTTTTTTTTTTTTTTAAGAAAAACAAAAGTTAAGTTTGCTCCAAATGAAAGCACTTTTCAAATGATTTTTTTTCCTTATTAAAAATAAATCCCTGTACACTATAGGATCATCCTGTTCTAGAAAAGCTGTGCTCCGAGGAAAACACCACATCTGTAGTGGAGATCATGTCTGAAGGACAGGTTTCAGAGTTTAGGAAGCCGTCAGAAGAATTCGCCAAGCTCCTGTCATCAGAAGGGAGCTTCACCAGCAGCGAACTGGTAGATGGAAGCCCGGGGACAGAAATCTTTCCAGACTACGTGACTCTCAACAAAGACAGTATCTTTCTCTGCTCACAAGCAAACATTTACATATATGAGCATGTGACAGAGAAAGGAGACCATGAGATAGGAGATGAGTACCTTCCCACGTGTTCCTGCTCTGATGGCTCCGTCTGCTTCTCACCTTGCTTATGCAGTGACCTTCTTAACCATTCATATTTGCCTCTGGCAGAGCCTGCAGAAAAATTCAGCTGCAAGGTCACTGCTGCGAGGAGTCCCGGAAACATCTATACTAACTTTCCATAAGAAGAACAAAAAGTGTAGCAAGTGTTTTTGTTTGTTTTTTTTGTTTCCATCAGTGCAAATTTTCTGTACAGTAACCTCTGCACTTTGTACTGTTTGGCTGTAAGTAAAAAAAAAAAAAAAAGGCTACAAAATGAAAACAGAGCTCAGCTATGAATTATTTGAGCATTAACACATCGTTTGGCCCAAGTAAAGAAGCAATTCCGCAAAAAAAGTCGTCATCAACGGTCAGCCCTGATATGTAGTCTTTTAGGATCAGATTTGGAGTTTAAGTTTTTGGTTGGCAGGACTTTACAGCGACTTTCATCTTACTTTCCATCTTCAAATTGTATATTGTATGCAGGGCTGTCTCTATCTTGTGTGAGACAAAATGCTGAGACTATGAGTCTGTGACTGCGTTCAGTGGTGTGACCAATTAAGAATCATTTCTGAGTCTTGTGCAATACTCAGCCATATGCTCACAGGATCCCTCTGCGACACGTTCCGGCTCATTCACACTGCCGCTGTTTATGGAGCAGAGAGTCTTCCGCAGCTGCTTATATTTCATATAATTTAAAGTTGTTATGTTAGCATTTCTTTTGGGGGAGTTTTACACTATTGTGATACAATTTTGTACATCACAGTAATGGAATGCAATGGAGTTTGCTTTGGACCTTGGTGTAGAAGATGTACATTCTTTCTGTATGCTGTATTAAGCAAATTTCCCCTTAAATGTTACATTGTTGCTAAGTGAAGATGACACCCGAGTGTTTTTTCCCCTTTCATTGTCCTACCAATGTTGTATAGTGATTGTACGTGTTACTTTTTAGACATTTTTGCAACTTCCTTTTTTTTTCTTTTTTAAAGAAAGTACAATAATAACTGAAAAAAGTGTTAATTATTTTGTTTTCATGTTTTGCAGTTTTGACAATAAAATTTAACAAAATTATATTCTTTTTGGATTTTCTGTAGTCACTGAACCATTTAGGCTTTGACTGGTATTACGTTTCAAAGCGAAACCCAGGAGATGCTCAACATTTTACATATTTGCCTCTGGCTGGGCCTGCAGGTAAGTTTAACTGCAAGGTCACTGCGGCAAGGAGTATCAGAAACATCTATATCAAGTTCCCCTAAAAAGCAAGAACAACGTAAGAAGTGTACTTTGTTTCCAGTGGTGGAGATTTCACGTACAGTACAATATGTAAAGTTGGCTGTGAAAAGGATACAAAATGAGGGTTAGGGCTCAGTGGTGACTTATCTGATGATTAAAAGAAGTGTTTCCACAAAATGACAACGATCAACAGTCAGGCCTGATAAGTAGTTTTCAGCATAGCTACATTCTGAAAGAAATATATGAGATTTTTTCTATGAAGGCTTTTAGAACAAAAACTTTCCCGTCAGACTTCATCTTCTTGCTTTTCTTACCTCCACCTAAATAACAGCTACAGTATCCTACCTTGAGAGATCTTATTTTTATTTTTTAAAGCACAAGCCGTCTTTCTGTGTGTTATACTTTTACTGTCAGTAGGTGGTGGTAGAGATCAGCAGGTGGGCTGTTGTCACAGTAAGTCCTTCTCAGACATGTGGGCAGCTACACTACATGACAGAAACTGGGAGAACATTTAGATTTTGGCTGAGTCTTAAGTTTGTATTTTTATGATATAATCACACACACACACACACACACACACACACACACACACACGATATCCCCGTAAGCAATATTAACTTTGTAGTAATATGAGTAAACTGGTGAGGATGTTTCACTTCAACTCTGTCATAAAAACCAACCAAACAAAAACCAACAGACACATTACAGCTAGATGTTAATTTATTACACAAAATAATTGAAAGGCTCAATGTAAGATGATTCAAATAATTATCACTCACAAACTGTACTTAAGACCTGAGATGAAACATGGGAAATCACAACATCGTGACCACTGGTGCGGACGAGGGAACCACCAGAAAATGAACAAGAATTATTTAACAAAATCACTGCACTGTTTGGGAACACCGTCTTCAAAAAGCAAGAACTGCATTAAATGTTCATTCAGACATTTATTGAATATTTTGGTGTCACTCGGGGAGGTTGATGATTTTAGATAATGCCAGCTCTTGACACAGTACTAATCAGTGTATGACTGTATCATTCACTGTTTGAGAATCACAAATGGCTCTGCAACTACTGTATGCTATCACCTCGCATCCAGCCAGCCGCCTTCTGTAAAATATACTGCCGTCGCACTTTAATGGCACATCTACAGCGTTCGCCAGACTGTATGATATCATGGCCATAAATTAGCCCACAATCGTCTATGAGGCAATCGCAGAGGGTGGGAGAAAAGCGAGCTATGAGAGGGAGACAGTTGAGAGAAAGAGAGAAAGCTTAAAAGAGTCAGTGTTTACTGGAGTACAAGCCTCTCCTCCCAACAAGAATTCTTTCCATGTTTCATCACTGCCCACTTGCCCATACACAAATGTCTGTGGAGGGAGGTTGACTCACCTCATGATGTCATTTCCTTAACTTTCACTTGCAATCAGAGTGAGAAACGACATGGTTTGAAATCTGATGGGCTTTAACATACATACAGTGTAACACAGTATACGTGTTTACGTATGCTATGTTGCCATGTTTACAGGCCCTAAAAACGTGAATTCAGCAACAACAGGAATAAGGCCACCGAGGCAGGTCAACCTTTCAGCTCCTACTGGGACACAACACATGGAAACACAGCAAACAGCTTGTTCTGTATTTGAGTACAAACTCTGACTGCAGTGACATTTGGTCCTACTGGGTTCTGTGAGACAGACAGCGTTTCCCAGCAAGATCTTAGTCAACAGTGGAGTGAAAACTGCCATACCGGGGGGGGAGAGAGAAGAAAAAAAAAATAGAGTAATTAACGACACTGGCACAGTTAATGATGTGAGAAAACTACACTGCCTTCAGAATCATTCAGCAGGATTGAAGTCATTGATTTTCCAGAGAGGCACTGTAGATTAAAAGAAGCATAGGTGTTCTGTTCGAGTAAATCAGGGGTGGTCAACTCCAGGCCTCGGGGGCCGGTGTCCCTGAACCAACACAGCTGATTTAAATGGCTAAATTAGCTCCTCAGCATGTCCTGAAGTTCGCCAGAGGCCTGGTAACGAACTAATCATGTGATTCAGGTGTGTTGACCCAAGGTGAAATCTAAAACCTGCAGGACACCGGCCCTCGAGGCCTGGAATTGCCCACCCCTGGAGTAAATGAAAGTCTAGTTCAGAGTTTAATAATGAAAACACTAATTTTCCACCTCTGTCGGGTCGGCACAGTCTTTCTTACATGTCTGTCATCCCCTCTTTGTTTATACAATGTTTACATCAACAAAACGTTACAAAACCACTGCAATATAGCATCACTTGACCAGTTACTGCCATAGACTGTATATAAAAGATGGACACAGCTACACATTGGTTTGCAAGGAGCATTTTTGTCATCACCATCTTAATGTTTTGAACCTGGACGAGCAAGAAGTAGGTCTGACTAAAACAAGTGACATTGGACGCTAAAGAATATCCTGCTTCATCTTTACCTTTACGTGTTTTACCCTAAATAGATCAGCATTTAAAATCAATTAAAACAATGCCATATTGTTTTAATTGATGCCGATACGACGGCATTGTTTTATCGGACACCAACTAAGACTATAAACTCATCCATGTTTTCTGAAGTCATACAACAAATGCAAAGTAGGATCATTTTCTTATAGACTTCCATACAATCCATGATCTTTTCTTCTTTTTTTAAACAAGAGGTGTCACCCCCTGGTGTCCATTATAAATAATGCAGGTTTAAGGCACTTCCACACAAGCGTAATTTTTTTGTTTTCTTTTTCCCCAGTCTGGGAGGTGACATCCATCTTTATATATAATCTTCAGTCACTGGTAGCTTCTCTATCGGGTGGCTTTAATAAAAAACAAGTTATAATGCAAAAAAAATAATAAATAAAACACTGTAATCACAACAGAATCTCACATCTCCACAAGGCTTTTCAAGTTTTTTAAGAACTGTATTTTCAGAATAAGAATTCACAATATTTGTTTGAATAAATAAGCAATCTTATGGTTTTGGAAGTTTGTTTTAGCACCACTTGTAAAGGAACAGTACGGTGGCCCTGACAGGCCAAACGGACTGCAAGTTAAGAAAACACCAGCAATAGGAAAAACGAAAACAAAAATAGGAAAAAACACAATAACCTGACGGACCAGTTGCAGGAACCCAAAACATGGTAGGCGTGTTTTATCATGATTCATATAATACTGATGACGGATTTTTAGGCTAATAGTCAGGCTAACACACTTACCTCTCATCTTTTCTTTCCACACAAAACCAATAGATCCTCCACTTTTTTTAAGTGTCTCCCAGTGCAGTTCTTAGCATATTTTGGTTCCTGCAACTAGTCCGTTGGGTTATTGTCTCCCCAGAAACACTTCCCTTGTGCTTTTGGAAATCTGTTTTTTGCCATTTCTTTTTTCGTTTTTCCTATTTCCGTTGTGTTTTGTGTGCTTTTGCAGCATTTTTCTTATTGCTGGTGTTTTCTTAAGTTGCAGTCCATTTGGCCTCTCAGGGCCACCGTAGAACAGAAGCAATTCGACATATAAGAGGAAAAAAAGTGTAACTGCAACAATCACATTGAGATTTTATATCACATCGTAGCAGGACTTGCTTCAAAACACAGTTCTTGAAGAATCAGTGTATAATTCATTACATAAGCAAACACACAGAAAAATTAAATCACAGTTAAAAGGGTGACCATAAACAATGCACATCAATTCTATCATTTTTATTTGTACCCAAATGATGTCTGAATTATTAATACATCTGAAGTCAAATGTTGGTAAGACCATACTGTACAGAGACAACAGCTGACAGGTCCCACTGGGTTTGTCGCCAGCGCAGAGTTGTAAACACTGGACATAAGTGTGGTTCTACTAATGTGGTTCTACCTGCTGTGCAGGTTAAAGGGGAAATTCAACATGGCACATGGTTGACTAATCTGATCTGGGATCAGGTCTTTATCAGACACACTTGTAATTAATGACAACAGCTTGTAGACAAGTGAAGCAGCATATGCTATTGAAAAATACAAATGAATTAATAAGGAGAAAAT